AATACCACGTAGAATCTAAATTATTGTTATTTATTTGATTTTAATGGGGAGGGGACAGGTGTTTTTATTTGCAATTGTAATTATTTGATTATTGTCCGTATTGTCTTTAAATTGTAAATTTAGAAAGAAAGAAGTTGAAAGTAGTTAACAAGCGTTAGCAAATCTAACTGGTTCGAATACCACCCAGGGTTGAAATTACGTGTCTCCGATTTTGGGGGTTTTTTTATTTATAATCGTAATCATTTTGTTATTGTCCGTATTGTTTTTAAATTGTAAATTTAGAAAGAAAGAAGTTTAAAGTAGTTAACAAGCGTTAGCAAATCAATTCAAAAGGGTTGAAATTACGTGTCTCCGATTTTGGGGGTTAATTTGCAATTATAATCATTTTGTTTTGTTTCTTTTTCTTTTTATTTTTCAGTTAAATCAATCTACGTTCTCCAAATCCTTTTCCCTTTTTTCTTTATATTTTTGATTTGATTCTATTTTAGGATTTATCTATAAACCCTTTCTTAGTTATAATAGAAAATAGTAGAATACCAAATTCGATCTTCTATTTATTCCGTTCATTTCTTTCTCTTCCTTTCTTTCTTTCTTTCATTTCATTTTATTTTTATCCTCACGTGTTTTTGTCTGTCTCTCTGTTGAAAACTGTATAGGTGTATATATATATATATATATATATATATATATATATATAACTATATGTCGAATGGTTTATTTCTTCTTATCCTGACCTTTCTTTCGCATTAAAACTTCTTACCTCGTTCGTCCTTGTTCCTTCAAAAAAAGATACGTAGAAAAGAAGGATTCCGCGTTAGTTCCTAATGCAATACATCGAACAAAGTTTTTCGAGTCAACACACGTTTCCACACCGAAAGAGAAAACTTTGTTGGAACAGTGTTCGGGGGGTGGATGAGGAGGAAGAAAAAGAAGAAGAAGGGAGGGGGAGAGGGAAGTGTCGTGGAAGAAAAGATTAAATAAAACTAAATGGATCAATTTGTATATTTCCTTATCATAAATATTATATCTTCTATTCTCTCGATCATTATAATAAATTATTATCGAAGATGTATTATACGCAAGTGTTTAAAATTAATTGTTTAAAATTAATTCGTTTAAATAGAATCATGCCATTACCACCGCCGGTTCTAATAGTTTTTAAAATCATTACACGAATATTCGAAATAAATGAAGAGAAATATTTGTTAATAAATTTATTTACGAGCAAAGAGAGTATGTTTTAGATTTTGTATAATTTTTTTTTTTGTAACCAATCTGACAGACAATTTATTATTTGACGTATTACTCGATAGATCGTTTGAAAATTGATATATATTTGATAAATAATTCAAAACTTTGTACCGGTAGTGTGCATAATAATAAATATATATAATATAACACTTGTGATAGTGTACCGCGAGAATACAGATAAAGAATATTTACGTTTTAGCAACGAAAAAGTATAAAGAGAAAATCTTATAGGGGTAACTTTAACCCCTTTAACGTGATTATTGACTTATATATATAATTTTTTGTTTTCTTTTTTAAATAAATCATACATCAATATTAAAATTATTCGTAACGTTTGTATGAAATACATTAAGTATCCAATCATACGTATATTAATCGATAATAATAATAATAATTGATATGATTTAAATAATAAAAGTTAGAATAAATAATTTAGATCAAATCTAATCCTACAATTAAAAATTTCGTCTTATAATAAATGAATCGATGAACAAATAAAAATACATTGGAATGGAAAACAAAACGATCGAGTTTTAACCTTCGTGTTAATGACCTCGAAAAATGATTTCTCAAACGTTCCATTCCCCTCCCTCCCTCCCTCTTATGGTGTTCGTATAATTTGTCGAATCGATATACGAGTAAAAGTAACACCACGTGGAAGGCATGAGCATCAGCCGGAAAAGGAAAACACAATCCTCAAATTACCCTTTTGTATCAAATAAGTAAAAGAATGTATATGAAATAAAAGAAGAAAAAAAAGATATAGAAAAAGAGTAGAATGATAAAGTAAAAAAGAAAAGAAAAGAAAAGAAAGGGAGTCTGGCGATGGTGATGGTGTTTAGAAAAGGGTAGTAAGGATATGACCTGCCCCAATGTGATCCTGTTTACAGCAACCCTTCCCTTCTAACTAAAACCAAGGAAAGGGTGGGTTTGTATATAGTTACAATAGAATGGAAAGAGAAAACCTGTAAAAACTTTTCACCAAAAGATATTTCTTTTCTCTCTCTCTCTCTCTCTCTCTCTCTCTCAGCCGTCACATTTCCAAGTTATCCCCCCATAAGATTTTTTTCTTACCCACCACAGGCACTTGGCACTTTCTTCTTCATCTCCTCCTCTTCCTCTTCCTCCTCCAACTGTCTCCCTCTTTAACAATTTTATTTCTCTTTCGTCCCTTTCGTAGGTCTCCCACCAATGGCACATCCCCTCTAACCCCCTCCTCCTAACTCACCCCCACTCCGTATGATGGAAGCCCTCCGAGAGCTACTGCGCTCATGCTTTCCTTCCCTCTCCAAGCCCCTCCCTCCCTCCTCTTCGCATAAACCAMCCTCTCTCTCTCTCTCTCTTTCTCTCTCTCTCACTCCCTTCCTCTTTTCTATACATTGCGTTCCTCTTTCTCGCTTGCTCTCATTGGTTAGTAATGGTGCGCGCGCTCCTTCCCTCCGGCCGAGAGGCCTGAGGGAAAGAAACAGCGGAGGGCCGTACATACGAACGAACGAATGAGCGAACAAGTTGGCGAGAGAAGGATAGAAACGATATAGAGAAGTTAGGAGTGCAGAAACGGTGGGGCTGACTCTGTTCGGTCTTGCGCGGCACGTATTAGTCAACCCGGAGCCACGGTCCTCGTAGGAACCGTCCTCGTCGTCGTTATTATTTTTATTAACATAATTCTATCGTTGATTGGTTAGTGTGTTGTATGTGTATTTATGTGTGTGTGTGTGTATATTGTTTTGTGTATGATATATTATATGTGAAAACATATATGTATATATATATATATGTATATATGTATATATATGTATTCGTTTTATTTGTGAACGTAAATAATAACCAACCCTCCCCCTGTCCCTGCCCATTACTCCCATTCCCACCCACACACCCCCCCGTTATTATCGTTACACGAACGGAATATATTAATCCGGGTTGTCACTTCTAAGATATTCTGAGTAATTCTCTAAACTTTTTTTCTCCATTGGTTTATAATATCATTTTTTTGGGTTAGTTGATTGATTGGTTTGTATGATTGTTTGTTTGTTTTCATTTTTATTCGTTCGATCGAACGAGAGGAACACTGACACCGGTTTAAACCCTCCCCCTGTTAATGCGACACTGTTTTCAAAATTATAGCCCCCTCCCTCTTTTTCCATACTTAATTATCTATTTATTCTAACCCCCCCCCCGTCCTCTCCCTCCGTCGCCGCTCTTGTTTTTCGGTGCTCGCAATATTATTCGTTTCGTTATTCGTTAACGAGTTAAACAAAAAAAATAAATGAAGTTTCGTATTATTCGTCGAGATTTAATAAACGTTGTTTACTTTTGTAATAATATCTCTTCGTTTTCCATGGGGGAGGGCCAGGGGTTTTTTTTTCCTTTATTAAAGGTACAAATGAAACACGGGGAAACATAGGAAGATAAATTAATGTGCGCGAGTGTGCGAATTGTAATAAACATCTTCGACCTAAAAAAATAGAGAAAAAGAGAGAGATAAAGAATTAACATCTATATCAAAAAATAATAGAAAAATAATAATAATAATAAATAGGAGAAAAAAGAAAAGAATAGAAATAAAAAGGATAAAAACAAGAAAATAGTGTTGTTCTAGTGCGTGAAATAAACAGACTCGTGGCGCGAATTATTCCGAACGAATAGAAAAGTTTTCTTATTCGTGGTGTTGCCTCGTGTTCGCGAAAACTTGCGGAAGAGAAAAGAAGACGGGTTTATGGTGACGACTATGTCGTTGGCATTATCATCGTTGTCTTTGTCATCGTTGTCGTCGTGGTTCCCCGTTTCTTTTTCGGTTCGCGTATTATAATAAGTGCGTGTATAAGTAAGCAAGCAAGCAAACAAGTTAGCTAACTGTTAGCTAGCAAGTGCATGACACCATCAGTCGACGCCCCTGATCGGAGTTGGTCAAACTAGTAGTCCCTGTTATTCAATATTTTTTCGCATAAATCGGTTGGCTCGTCATATCGAAAAAATAAAAAATAAAAAGGGACACTCGCGTACCAATACACGGATACTTATAAACACGGTACCTACACCACCCACCCAGTCACTCACCAAATGCACACATCCAACCACCCTACAAAGAAACGCGTACACACACTACGACCGGTCTTTTTATCAAACATAGTTTGTGTGTATGTGTGTGTGTTTTGTGTGTGCGGTGCTGCTCTTCTTAGGACGTAGTATCGACGTTTCTCGGGACTTCCTAGTGACACCTTTATTCTCTCTCTCACACACACACACACACTCAACTCTCTTTTCATTCTCTCATTTTCTGTCTCCACGTCCGTCTATAACACCCCTCCCACCCTCTCTCTCTCTCTCTCTTCCTACCAACCACCCCCTACACCCATTGGCCCTCTTTCCTCCCCCCATCTACCACTCCTCCTTCACTTACCACCCTCAACCAACCCCCAAGAATCCCTCGACTCGACTCGACTCGACTCGTCGTCGTCGTCGTCTCGTGTACAGTGCGATGGGAATACTACCCGAATGGGAAATCGTTGTTTCTCTCTCCTCTCCTCTCCTCTCCTGTTTTTTTTTACATATATAGTGTGTTTTATTTAAGTGAAAGTGAAAATAAAAACGATTATGATATAATGTTATAATCGTGAAAAGTTTTATAAAGGAATAATTAATAACTTAGTTTTGTTTTTTTTTTCTTTTTATATATATAAATAAATGAATGAATAGATTAAAAGAAGAAGAAGAAGAAGATAAAGAAGAAGAAGAGGAAGAATAATAATAATGAGAAACAATTTTGAATAATTGATCATCTGGTGATATACTCTATAAAGATTCTATTCGTTTTATTCGCGTATACGATATATAATATTACAATAATAATAATAATAATAATAATAACGAAAACAGGGTGTGCAACAACGACCAGTGCATTCGACGATAAGAAAAAAAAAGCCTTTTATTATTCTAACTACTGTTACTACCTACAACTTATACGATTCAACTACTGTGATATAAATAGGTGTATATATATATATATATATATATGAAATATCTACATATACACACAAGAGATATTCTCCAATGAAAACGAGAGAAAGAGAAAGAAAGAAAGAAAGAGAGAGAGAGAGAGAAAGAGAGAGAGACGAGAAATCGATCCTCGAAACTCGTCCCGTTTCAATTTCTCTTCTTCTCTTGGCACTTCGCGGTGACTCATTTCGGGGAAAGTAAAACGAAACAACACGCCTCGGAAAGGAGGAGGAGACTTTCTGGTAGGTTTCTTAAAAAGAATAATCCAACGTTAAAGTTTGGAAAAGTAGGAGGAGGAGGAGGAGGAGATCATGATCATGTGTAAAAAATAAGAAAAAAGAAAATATAATATTTAATAGATTAATTCGTTCTCTCGATCACATATTTTCGCGATGTCACCAAAAATTTCATACATCAATCTCATCACAAAACCCACACAATTTATTTTCGATTTTGTCTTTTTTTTTTTAGCATACTATTTTGCATTGAACTCTGAACGATATTATTTCCCCCACCTCCACCTGATTGGAGACACCCCTTCTCACCCCATACTCCTCATCATCATCATCATCATCATTTACCCTACCCGGTTATGGATATTATTAAGTAATACCTTGAGAGTAACTTGTTCTCTCTCTCTCTCTCTCTCTCTCTCTCTCTTATTCTTTTTTCAATGTGTCGACGTGTAATAGTTCTCGGCTCGGTTATGTGAGTTCGTTCGTTCGTTCGTTCATTCGTTCGTTGGTTGGTTGGTTGGTTGGTTGGTTGGTTCGTAAATGCGTGCTTGCTGCTTATTTGTGTGTGCACGTGCGCGTGCGGGGCCTACTGCAGTACGCGCAGGCGGGCGGTGGCGAACGGGAAAAAGCGCGGGTTCTCATTCTTCGAGAAATTTATTTATTTTTGAAATATATTCACCGGGGGAAATTTAATAACCATAAGCCCATCCAAAAATGATTCCCATCAAATTCCTCTCCCTTTTTTTCTTTTTTTTGTTACACGTAATTTTCTTTCTTTCTTATCGTATTATTTATCCTGTATAATTAATCGTGTACGTATATGAGTGTATATGTGTATGTGTGAGTGGGTGGATACGCAAGTGTATGCGTGATAAGGATAGAAAATTTTATTAAAAGTGTTCTCTCTCTCTCTCTCTCTCTCTCTCTCTCTCTCTCGTGTACGAAATGAAATAATTTGTTAAACCTCAATGATCATTGGTTATTCATTAAAGAATAAAAAACAAAAATATTTGTCAAAATTCAGAAGATTTTTAAACACACACACACACACACACGTGGGCTTTTTTAAGTAGTTATCGATGACGAATAACTGTGAACCACAATAACACGAATTTATTACTATTATTATTAATTCTCTCGCGCGCGCACGCCTGCCTCCGGTTTTATCTCTAATCACGCGTCCTCGTGCGATGCAACCGGAAATGCCCACGTGTGCGAACCCCGTCCTCCTCCCCCCACCGCCTTCTACACCCGTAGATATATTCTAGAAAGAAACAAACAAAATTATAGACGAATTAGTCCTAAATGAATAATCGATACTAATATTCTGTTAGTTCAATCTCGTATCTTCTCCCTTGCCAAAAAAAAGAAATTTAATTCCAAGTCCCAAACGGGGTAAATTTGGGGTGGTTCTTATAATCATAATCGAAATGGGTAGAAAAGTTTTTTTCTTAACGAATCTAACGATTAGATTAGATGGTATTCGTAAAATAATATTGAATAGTTACGTTCCACCCCCCCCCCCATAACGCGTTAATTTAATTTTCAAATAATTTTTGCATTAAAATTTAGAGATATTTCATTTCTATATATATTTCTTTTCTTTTTTTATGTTTCATTGTTTCACTCATTTTGTCTATCTCTTACGAAAAAATTATTTAATAAGATAAACGTTGAAAAATATTGATTAATATATCATTCGCGAACACGCGTGATGCATTTATATTCGACGAAATGCATTTTTCCACGAAGCGTATTTGTAAACATTAACATCGAGGAGGATCGTATGTTGCTGTTCCGTTTCAAACTATAATATTATTATTCGTCGAGAGAGCAAGTTGTCCGTGAACTTAAGTACATTTTTTTCAAATTAGATTAAAACATCGATTATATTATATTTTAATTTATGTCATATTAAATCTCTTCGATCTATTAGGAATCTTTTTTTATATACCGTAATACGATTTGTCGATTTTAATTTATTGATTTTTTAGTAATTAATTACATTGCTATTCATTCCTTTCTATTTTATTTATTAACGATAAATATGATTCATTTAAAATTATTCAAAGACCTAATAGTTATTACGATTCGAATAATAATTACACAAGTTTAATATATTTCCAATATATTTAAATTCAGATTTCGACGGAATAATCTAACGTTCAAATTTTAATAAAATAAATCCTACTTAATCGAAATATTCATTCCCGATTCTTACCGTTACCCAAAATACAAGACTCAATTTAGTATTCAGGTTTCGAACACCTGCTAAATGTTATCGTCCCCCAATTGAACGTATTATAACTGTTAAAGTCAAGATTCTCCCGAGTATAATCGAATAAATATCCGAATTTCAATGCAAGATATTCCAAAGTTAGAATTACAAAATGTGTTAAAAGATATCGATCCTAAAATTCGACAAAAGAGTGCTTGAATAGTTTGTAAATAACTTCGATTAATTATACACAACACACACATTTAAACTATAATTAAACTGTGCCCGACTTTTCACAAGAACAGAAAAAAAAAAAAAATAAAAGATAGTTGCAATTTTTAATTTCTAAAAAAGGTCAATTTTGTTTCTACAATTGAACAAATCATTGTCAAATCTCTAATTTGTTTAAGTATTGTAAATAAGTAAAACTAAGTAAGAGTAGTATTGTATTATAAGTGCGAGACGTAATCGTGCGAAGAGAGTAGCGTTCGCGTGTATCACATACAACACATCGTGCATATATATATATATATACATACATATATATAAATATATATATACACATACGTGAATTACTTTCGCCCCGGGGGGCATCGCATCTTATTTAGGTCGTGTACACGTAGCCGCGTACACTTTGGTTCTGGCACGAGCGTGCCGCCACTATTACGGCATCGTTGTCGTTGTATAGTTCTCAGCTACCATCAAGTAAGAAAGAAAGAGAAAGAGAAAGAGARAGAGAGAGAGAGAGAGAGTTGCTAGTGCAGGCAGGTGATTCCAACCTATACGGAGTTGTCCTCGACAAGTCTCGAGTCTTCGATCTCTATGCGGTCGCTCTACATATATCCAATAGTCATGTTTTGTAATATTGTTTTGAATATGTTACAAAAACAACAAGAAGAAAAATTAATCATTACAATATTGTAGAATAATTTTACAAGAAAAAAAAAGAAATAACACTTATATATATATATATATATCTTATNAATAATAATAATAATAATAATAATAATAATAATAATAATAATGATACATCGTGTTTTATACGTTCATTCATGAGACAGACGATTAGGTAATACCTCTTAGAGTTAATATTTGATAGATTGATTTGTTAATTTGCCCAGAATATAGTAGAAGGGGGAGGGGGGGGATGCAGGTAGGAGAATGACCTATAAGTAATAATCTATTGCAATTTATAATTACGAAAGTAAAAGATAAGTATGTGTGTATATGTGTGTAATTAATATTGAAGTTAGATTAACTTATAGAGAAACTAAATTTCCTGGATTGACCTTTCACAGTGCAAACATGCTTAATGGGGGTGGGGTGGGGGGGGGAGTATACTAATTGTAGAAAGTAAGGAATAACAAGAAGGAAAAATAAGAAGAAAAAAAGAAAAAAGGAAGAAGAAGAAATAGAAGATCGATCTCTTTATCAGGTCTTAACTTCAGTAAAAGGTATAACGTTTCAGTATAAAGTTCAGTTAGGATTTCAGAAGAATAGAGTAGGTGATCTGATCTCGCGTGCTACGTCACAGACAGTAGAACAGGTCCGTTGCGTGTACTGTTAGGAAGCAGCTAACTGTTAGTTCGTTCGTACGAGTGAAAAGAGCGTGCTGTTAGAGTAAAACGAGAAGGAAGAAGAAGAGGAGGAGGAGGAGGAGGAAGGGGGAGGAAGGGGGGGAGGAGGAGGGTTGGGAAGAAGCACTACATAGGTTATAAAATATATTCTCAGTATTCGTATATGCATAGACCTATCCAATGTGTTGCATTAAAGTACATATGTGTGTGTATGCTAGTGTGTTAGTGTTTATGGGACGCGTGCTGTTGTTGTTGTTGGGGTGATGACGATGGTGGTGTTGGTCGAGTATAGCGATTGAGAAGAATGATATTAGTAGTAGTAGTAGTAGTAGTAGTAGTGTAGTAGTAGGAGGAGGAGGAGGAGGAGGGGGGTGAACGATACGGTATATGTGTGACAGAGAAAGTGGAAAGAAGAGGGAGAGAGAGAGATAGAAGTATAGTTAGATAGATCAAGTTAGTGGGCTAGTAGGACCGGCATAATGTTAACTCGACTGGGTTCTCCCTAAGTTTAACATATAGAGATTTACATGTATGTATGTATGTGTGTATGTGTTTTACGTGTATATCCGCTATTGCTGTTGCTACTGTTGCTGCGTCCAACTTGTACAAATACAAAAATACACACGTATATCGAACACATATACTCGCGAATGGGCGCCACCATGAGACGTGTTTTTTTTTTTTTTTTTTTCACGTTCATTGCTACAGAACAATTTTATGTGGCATTCCTTTTTTCCCCCCTTTCGATTAACTTTTTTTTTTTTTTTTTTTTTTCTTATGGAACGTAGGATAATACCGTGTGTTATAAAAGTAAGGGTCGAACACGAAGGGACGACTATAATATACGTTCTTTGGAATACTTCGATAAAGATGCGCATAAAACACTTCCTCCAACCCCCCAACCAACCAACCAACCACCCACACATACACGTAGAGTTAGAAACCAACACAGCGAGTAGAGTAGAGTAGAGTAGAGTAGAGACTAGAGTAGAGACTAGAGTAGAGTTGAATAAAGTAAAGTAAAGTAAAGTAAAGTAAAGTAAAGTAAAGTCAAGTCGACATACTAACGAAAAGGGGGTGGTGGTAGGCGTAATGCAGAAGCTCTTATATAGCTAGGTGAACAAGGTGTAAGTATAAATATATCTCTCGTTCTCTCCTTCTTCTTCTTCTTCTTCTTCTTCTTCTTCTCTTCCTCGATTCACTCTTTCGTTACACAAAAGAGAAAGAGAGAGATAGGTTGAGTATGTATGTATGAGAAAGTAATAAAGTGTGGGTGTATATCGTTGTGGCGTTTCCTTCCACGGTAACGAATCCCACCAGTAGTAATAGTAGTAGTAGTTCTGATCTATAAAAGCGAACCGAGAGAGTAACTATACAAGCATCGTGGAAGCACATGGAGAAGAGGATAGTAGTAGGCAAAGTTGGTGAATATAGGCAGCAACTAAGAGGAGAAGGCGGGGGAGGGTGGCAGGGGGTCAGGGGGTCAGAGAGAAGGAGAAGAAAGGGGAGCTGATGTAGATACGGTTTGGGTGGTGTAGATGAGGTGGTAGGTGCAAGGTGCTGACGAGTTGGGGGTTCAGTTGGGTTAAAATAGGGGTGGGAGTGGGAGTGGGAGTATGGGTGGTGTTGGTGGTAAGCAAGGAAGAAGGAAAAGCAGGAAAGCAAGCCAGCAAACCTGGCAGGCTTTGCTGCTCTGCTGGTGGCCGTTCGTTCATTCGCTCGATAGCTAAGTGCGGTTCCCCTCGACAACTCTCTCTTTCTCTCTCTTTCTCTCTTTCTCTTTCTCTCTTGCTCTCGTAGTTGCAACGCGGCAGGATTAAAGGGGAACCCTCGAAGCGCTGGAATGCGAACAACCAAAGAGAACGAGACCTCCTTCCGCGAGAATTCTCCCCCTTTTCTCCCCCTTTCGGTTCTTTACATATACACATATCGTACACGCACGTGCACACACGTATCTTCTCTAGCTCACTGATATTATCTCTTCTTTAGGATATAAACAATATATATATATATATGTATATATTGTTTTTTTTTATTCGGTGTGGAATATTATTTGTTGAAATATTATGCTTTGTTTTTATCAATTTAAGGAATAATAATATGTAATAACGTGATGTTTTCATATCGCAACAGAGTGTGAGGGTGAATACTAATTCGTTATATAATATATTCTACGAATAACGGATGTAATATATGTATTTAGATAATACACCTATCTATACACATTCATCTTTAGATATCTATTTTAAATGATAACAAGAATAATACGTTTAATCGTTGGTTTATGATAATCAGGAATAACACTGTTGGAATGGAAAAAGAGAGAGAGAGAGAGAGAATGAGTTGTATTAGAATTGAAATTTGAGTATTCGAAAATAATCATCCTGGTCTATTCTTCTTCGATCGAGAGAACGAATTACAATACAATCGATAGAAAACAATATTTTGTTTTTTTATTTTTTGTTTTGTACAAATATATAAAATCAACATTACCACCGATTTTTACAGATATCGAGACTAAGGATAATTAGAAGAAATAAAAAAACAAACATACACACACAAAGACGTTAAAAAGATATATATATATATATATATATATATATATATAATTAATTATGTCGCGTCTTCGAACGAGGATAATAATCGTCATCGTCAACGAGTTGATTGGATTTGTTAACAACTATATTAGCGTTGGTTATAATACGACCAGTTGTTGGTCAAGAGTGTTTATTATTCGTGTTTAAAAAAAAAAGGGCTAAGTGAGAGGATACAGAAGAAAATCATAGTGGTGCTAGTTTATTTAATATACATACATATATATATATCGATATATAAAACAAAGAAGAAGAAGAACAAAAATAAATATAAAAATAATAATAATAATAAGAAGAGAGTAAGATAAACAAAATAAAAGAAGATAAATTGTACAAGTAGAAAGTTAAAGGAAAGGGAAGGAAAATCGAGGCGCGGTGTCGTGCTGGATACCGCGCGCCAAAAGCTTCCGAGAGGGTGGAGGAAACGGAAGAAGAAGTGGAGGTGACGATAGTCCTTCCGAAAGAAAAAGAAGAAAAAGCAGAAGAAGAAAAAGAAGAAAAAGAAGAAGGAGGAGGAGGAGGAGGCGGCGGCGGGGAGGGAGGAGGTGGGGCGGGCGGCGGAGGAGGAGGAGGAGGAGAAAAAAAAAACGTCGATCGGTGGTGGTGGTGGTGGTGGTGGTGTAAAAAAAAAGTAATTGGTCGTCGTCCTCGAGATCGTCGAGAGGACGTCGAAGGTTTATCACGGCGGATGTTAGGGCCGACCGATCAAGGGCACCACCGACGACGACGACGAGGGGGGGCGCCGATCACGGCCACGTGTGAAAATAGAAAAAAGTGTTGGTCTTGGTGGTCTTGGTCCTGGAGAAGGAGGAGGAGTTGCACTAGCAGTTACTACTGCCAAAGGGAATTGTTGTTAACCGGTCAGGATTGTTGTTATCACCGTTGTCACCACGGCGTTCAACATGTTCGAGATGTGGAGCGCGGTGAGTTCCAAATTGGAACACTCCGCGACCTCCTCGGGTTCCCCGTTACCGTTGACGTCCCACGCCCCACAGACACCGCATACCTCGTCCGGGAGTATCAAAGGTAAACACAATACATTCAATAAATATACACGCACTCGTTTTTATATTATATATATATTTTATATAATATAATATAATATATATAGAATATATATATATTATATTATAAATATAATATTATAAAT